AATGAAGCCTGTTTGCGGATAGTGGCAGCATTTCTGCCTTCATAATCCATTGGAAAGAGGGAGGTAGTGCTACTGACCTGTTCATTCTTGGGATTTATTTGTGCTTTCAGCCCACTGAGAAGCTTCAAAGTGCTGTGTAGGTATTATTGGGACTGGGTGTTCAAGACTATCGGTAGCCAGTCTTACTGGTGCATGCTTGAGCACACAACTCTACTTTGTAAACAACAAACCCCCCAACTTGTACAGGCATTATTTATTTATTTATTTATTCCTGGACACCTTTAAAGGATATGGAAATTAATTATATTGAATTCCATACCTTTATTTTTGTCTGTGCATGCGCTCATGTGCATACACATATGTATATAGGGCTTATATACATCTTATATATTTATGTGTAATAAGTTGGAATTACATTAGAAATGGATGATCCAGAAAAATAATTAGCAAAGCATGGGCTGTGCCTCCTCACCTTCATTTTACCTCTGATACATGTATTTGCACAAGTGCCTTGTTTCCACTCTTGCTGCCTGCATTAGTGCCAACATAACCTGGCAAAATATATGTGGGATGGTGAAGCTGTGGTGCTGAGGAAGCAAGAGAGTTCAAATGATCGGGAAAGCCCCAACCATAGTATTTCCTGGGGTGTTTACATGGTACACATATTGGTTAGCTTATCAACAGGAGGGTCAGAGGCGAGGCAGAAAGGAAAGCTATGGCTGCAGATGAACAATCCCCCAGCATAAAGGTCATCCCAAGGGATGCTCAAGCTCTGAGAGGCTGCAGTGCTGCAGCCCAAGCCCCAGGACTCATTTCCCAAGGCTGAGTGCAGCAGGCAGCTAAGTCCCTTTCTGCAGACCAAGAATTTGTCTAGGAGCCTGGCTGTCTTCCAGGGCATGTCAAGGCCCAAGGTAAAACAGATAGGTCTTCAGACTGTTTTGCATGTGTTCAAATCCCTTTCCTGGAGACTGTTACTGGGGACAGCTTTAATTAAAGCACTGTAAAAAAGAAAAAAAAGTTACCAGGCAGCTGCCTTTTGGTCTGTGCCTTCACCCCATCTCTCCCAGAGCAAGAGGGTGCTGGCTGTCCTTCTGTCCATTGGACTGGAAGCAAATCCTGGGGACTGCCCACAGGGAGTTCCCTCCCTGTCCCTCTCCCTCCCTTTGCTTTCTTTCTTTCTCAAAAACAATGTGTGTTCCTATCCAGCAAAGTAGTGGAGCAGCACAAAGCTGTGACTGGATGCTGCTGTGGTGGCACAGTCAGGGTCTCAAAGGAGGAACTCGATGAGGTAAAGTTTTGGAATCTGAGAGATGACATGCCAGGACGGTGCAAATCCTGGGAAAGAGCCTTGTTATCAGTTCCTTTGCCTAAATCCATGCCTTTCTCACACATCCTGCAAATCACTTCTCACAAGGCCAGAATTGATATGTGTTTTGTCTTTGGGGACTCTTTGCAACCCATAGTAAATCACAATATAGGAACTCTTCTGACATGATGTCTCCCTTTTCATTGAGCACTCAGCTGGGTACAGTGAACACAAGGGACCTCAGCCACACCTGGGTGCTTTTTCTATTCAGAAAAATTAGTACAGCTCCATACCTGAGCAATTCTGTCCTGCTGGGAACTAAGGAAGTTTAAAAGAAGGTGGCAGGTCTTATTAGAACAGCACAGCCCTCTACACCAATGCACTTCTGAACTACATCTACAGGAATTTCCACTGTGTTGGGGTGACAGCCCTGTGGCTGCACTCACCCTGCAGATTTGGCACAAGTTGCAGTGGCAGAAATCTCAAAGCTAAATTATTAAGAGGAAACATTTCAAGCAGGAGGGCCTGGCCCTCCCTTTTGTCTGTAAAATTTGTATCTCCATGTTTGCACTTGCAAAATACTTCCCTGTGTACCTGCGTCTCTCCCCATTCTTATTAAGCCCACCAAGCAGCTGAAGGTAGCAACACTTTCATCTGAGCTTGCTTTTCAATCCCAAGTGGAAGGAGTCCGTGCAAATTGCAAGGTTGACCTTCTGAAATGAGGCCTTGAGTCCCCCCTCTCTTGTATTTAACTTGCAATTTACCACACGGAGGGAAGATAAATTAGATGGGTTAATTAGGAAGCTCTGGAACACTTTTGATCATTGTGCTACGCAATCGTAGATGCATCTTGCATTTAGGACCCTGAATATGCTGACATGAAGCCTTTTCTGCATGCCAGCCTCGTGGCACCTCCATCACAATAAAGGAGAGAGGGAGGGCAAGATGGAGTAGCCAAGCAAATCAGGAAAAACAACCAGCTAAATTGAGTGCTTTCTAATCTAATGCATTTAAGTCATACTCAATAAAGCTTGCCAACAGTCCCTGGCCTCTCTGCTGCAGAGTTCACAGAGGCATCTGATTAGAATAACATGTGTCTTCTAAAAATCCTCTTTTGAAAAGATTTTCATTCTGGATAGGGAATACATAATGAATTGGAAATGTCCCTTTGGGAGTGTGGGGTGAAGGGGGGCATTCAGCAAGCCCACCCAGCCCCAGAAGTCTGGCTGCTCTCTGCCCGCTGCAAGATGGAAAACCCATCAGCTATAGCAAGTTTTTTATTCCCTGCCAAAAAAAAAAAATAAATAACAGAAATAGCCCTGATCAGTTTTGTATTCAACTGTCTTCCTGAAATTATGTGAAATCCAAGCCCATTTTCAAATACCAGCAACGGCAGTGACATATCCAGGAGTCCCCAGAAACCTCATTCTTCAGAAAAGTGTGTGTTACAAGACTTAGGGTAACTTGTTCAAGGTAAGGCTTTTGAGATTTAAGGGATGAGAGTGGATAGGATGTGAGGAGAGATGAGGAATATGGTGAGAAAATTGATAACCACTGTATGATATCATGAGCAGAGGGGCAGAGCCAAGCTGTGACATGTGTTGTCAAGAGTAGGAGGAGAGAGACATTTTTTCCTTTTTTTAAAGACAAGTTAAGTTTTGTGTCTGAATCTTGAGAACCAGACCACAGGATATGTTGTAAAGGAGTACAGATTGTTCAACAAATGCTTTGTCTGTGTATTTGCCTGGAACAGCTTCATGGACTGTGTGCATCCATGGTCTCTTTTTTTTATACTCCCTTGAAGAGTCTGAGCTTTTTCCACTAACAGAATAGTTGGTGTCAGTGCCAGGAAAAGAGTTCTTTCCTGGGCAGTCTTGGTCAGGATAATGCTAAAGCTCCAGAGATGTTCTCTAGCAGTGTCCCTTGCTGCTTCCCCCACTGCCATCTTAGCAGAGCACATCAGCCTGAATAATGTCACAAATGAGGTGTCAAAGCTTCTTGAGCAGGGTTGTGTTGGTGTGTTGTATTTCACACAGGTATTAGAGCCAAAAGCCACTCAGGGTGTCTCAGACCACACCTGAGCAGAGCTTTGCTGGCAGTGATGATGTTCAATGAACTTTCCTTATTGCAGTCCCATTTCTCCAGACTTGCAGTGTCTTTGCAGCCTGGGAGTCTCAGAGGACCGGTGATGGAGAAGCTGTTTCTGTCCAAGACATGCCTATAGGTGTAGTGGAGAAGGAGAGAGATGGGTGGATATTCAAGAGAGATCCATACTGGACTTGATTGGACTCAATGACCTTAGAAGTCCTTTCAAGGGCAAATGATTTTATGGTTCATTGCCCTTATCCAACAACTTCCTGAACTGCTGAAATACAGCAAAGCTCAGGGCCTTTTAGAGGTCTTTATGCCCAGTTAAAGCTCTAGGTCTGGCCTGGTGGGGTGGGATAAGCTCCCTTTTCTAATCCAACTTCACCTGTGGGAGGTAATGAAAACTGCATGGCCCTCGGCTCCTTGCCCAACACCCTTGTAAAAAACAGTTGATGATAAAAGGCTAAGATAGCTGTAAAAATGAACAGACAAAAGAGAATTTCTGTGTACTTGTGCATGAAAAGAGCCTGTGATATCACCTGTATTCTTCAGTTGCATCTCAGTCCCCATGACCTCACAATTCCTTTGGAAAATTGGACAGGAATGAGGACATACCTCATGATATATGGTGCCTGGAGGACCACTGAGCTGTCTTTGATTTGCAAATACATTTAAACTGAGCAGTAAAAAATTCTTGAAACTTGGTACTAGAATCTGCTTTTATTTTCTGTGATACAAAGGTTTCAATGTAGTACTGGTTTTACTAGGAATTAGACTGCCAGATTTAATGTGGCATATGGCATTTTGTTGTATCAACATTTAGGTATTTACAGGCATGTCGTTTTGTGCCTAAGGCCAGCTTCTGCCAAGCAGGGAGGATTTGCACATATGATGCAGATTTCCATAAACAAGGAGCTTAGGCAGAATAGTAGAGCACTGGAAGATTGTGCTCAAGTCTGATTTTACCATGAAGAATTGTAATTTCACTGGAAGATTATGCTCAAGTCTGTACCATGAAGAATTGCAATTTCTCCTTGCTTGTTCCATCTTGATACAGCAATGCACTACCCCTAACCATTCCCTACAGTGTGTGACATAGAAAATAATTTTTCATTCTCTTTATGGAAATAAATTAGCACTGTTCCCATCCCTCCTTCAGAATGTTTAAGAATATATAGGGAACCTGTTTTTAATCTCCAGCTGACACACACACAGAGTTTTATACTTCCAGTGTAAGTGAAATTTGCTCCAATCCCCTGGTTGCTTCCTTGTCAAGTGCTCTTTTGCAGTGCATATGAAATCTCTGACTTTTAAAATAGTTAAAAATAGCTATGGGTTAAGAGCACTTGAACCTTCTCATTCACTTTGAAGACTAATTTAGGAAACCTGACAGGGTTCATCACTCTGTTCCTGATCAGTACAATCTATTAACAGCGTTGGCAGTGAAGTATCAGCTAGACAAAGGGAAAATGACTGCTCTCAAGTAAGCTGTTGAAATAAAAAGATATTAAGCAAAAGGCTTGGACATAATTCAGTAATGACCTTCATCAGCTGAAATGTTTTTGTATTTTAAGTGAATTAATGAGATATAATTATTAGTGTTCTTGGAGATGGCGATCAGAGAAAGCATTTTGCATAATGCAAACAGAACAACACAAATGGAAGCCCTGTCTGTCTCAATCAGACAAGGTCTCTTTTGTTATAATTAAATGTTATCACCTTCATTACTTCTTAAAACGTGCTTCACAGTTTATACTTTGACATCCTCATACCACCACACCATTACTATTTATGGTACAGTCACATCTGTCATAGCAATGGAGGTTTTGAAAATGTTTTACCTGACTTTTAACAGATGGATGTTAATGGGATATTTATTTACAGAATAAAATTAAATTGAAACTGAATCTTAATGCACAATTTACATAATCAGCTTTGTTCTGAGCTGGTGAGCTGTTTTTCCAGCACTTGGGACCCTTCAGCCACAGCTGCATCAAAGAAACAGCCGCTGAGAATGGAGATTAAACAATTTCCTAAAGCTAGAAGTCTTGATGAGAATCTATTATTCCATATTAGAGTACCATAATTTCTCCAGACACTGCCATAAGATCAAAGATGTATGTTAGAGCTTTGGCATAGCCCACGATCAAAAAGAAGATGTTCAATTTGCATTTAGAAAACATTTCTGCCAATTATATTTTTCTGATGATTTGAAAGTTTCGTGATTTTACGTTTTGCACCAAAAACATAAAAAAAAAATAATCTATGAAATCAGAGGCATAGAAAGGATGAAAAACCAAAAGGTATGAATTTGCAACAAATTAGGAGAGATTTTCTCATACTATTTGTGCGATCTACCTACAACCCTTTGCCTTGCTGATGCTCAGCTCAGCTGGATTTTGGCACATGCTTCAAGTGGCACAGAACAGAATACTCAGATGCAATGCAAAAACTTGCCTGGTGCCTAATCCCTACCTCTGAGGCTGCCTGAATGGCTGTAGGGCTGCATGGGTTGTTCTGACCCAGGTGTAGGACCCAGATTTTTTCCTTGTTGAACCTCACACAATTGGCTTCAGCCCATTGATGCAGCCTGTTGAGATCCTTCTGCAGAGCTTTCCTGCCTTTCAGCAGATCAACACTCCCACTCAGCTTGATATCATCCCCAAACTGACCAAGGGTGCACTCTGTACCCTCATCCAGATCATCAGAGAATGTGTTAAACAGGAGCAGCCCCAACACTGAGCCCTGGGGACATCACCAGTGACTGGCCACCAACTGGGTGTGTACCTCATTCACCACAACACAGTCAACACAGACAACAGCCTTTCCCTCAGCTGTTAAGCAGGTCACCTTGTCACAGAAGGAGATCAGGCTGGTCGAGCAGGACGTGCTTTTCACAAACCCATCCCGGCTGGTCCTGATCCCCATTGTTGTTCATGTGTCCCGTGATGACACTCAAAGAGGATCTGCTCCCTAACCTTTCCGAGTACTGAGGTTAGGCTGACAGGCCTGTAGTTCTCCAGACCCTCCTTACAGTTGACTGCAGGTTAGAAGTTGACTCACAGTTAGCCAGGGCTGCTGGTAAATGGTGGGGAGTGCCCTGGTGAGCTCTTCCTCCAGCTCCCTCAGTGCCCCTGGGTGGAGCCCAATGGGCCTCACACACCTGTGTGTGTCTGGGTGATGAGGAGGTCACTGACCATCCACCCTTGGACCTGGGGCTTCATTCTGCTCCCTGCTCCTGTCCTGCACCTCAGAGGGCTGGGTACCTGGGAACAGCTGGTCTTACTGCTAAAGCCTGAGGAAAGAAGGGATTAAGTACTTGAGGTCTTTACTTCATTCTTTGTCACCAAGACAAACATTCTCTTTAGCCTTCCTTCTCTTGATGACGAATTTATAGAAACATATTTTACAACAGTAACCAGAATCAGTTTTATTTGGGATTTGACCTTTTTCATTTTCTCCCTGTATAACCTCACAACATCTTAGAGTTCCTCCTAAGTTGCCTGCCCCTTATTGTCATAAACTCACATGTTTTTCCCTTAGCTCCATCCAAAGCTTTCTGTCAGCCCTTCACCAACTGATGTGACCATGTCTCAGGCCAAGACTCTCCCCACCTAACCTTGGCCACTCTAGGCTCTCTGCAGTCAGCAGGGAAAGACCTGGACCCTCTGGCAATCCTGCCTACCTCCACCAGCTGCAGAAGTGACCTCAGGTGGCCATGGGTCTCACTTACTGCTTTCATTAGTGTCTCCACCTAGCTGAGATGAATACCACTTTGGAAAATGTGGTAAAGTTTTAAACCTTTCTGCTTTAAAACCAGCCAACAGCCACTGTAAGAAAGAATTTCTTTATGAAATTTATCTGAGGAGCTACTCCCCCTCTTCTTTGCACCTCAGTGCAGGAATATTTTGAGTAGTCTGTGCCCAAATTGGATGTCAAGAAAGGAAGATGGCTGGTCCAGGTTCAGCACAAAGGTTGAGTGAAAGACTTTCACTTTACCCTGCATTTAAATGTACACTTGTGTCTAATTCTGAGCTAAACTGGAATTGGCTGCGAACTGGCTGGGAAAGAACAAACTGGGCTGCTGAGAACACCAATGAACAGTCTGCACCACTATGGAGAGGATGGCTTTTGGCCAGCACAACAGCTTTTGTAGTACATCCTCAGCTTCATGAAATCACAAGCATAACTCTGGGAAAAATGTCTTCAGCACTTAACAGGAGCAAGCCGGGGTTCAAGGAAGATCCTAACACTTCAAAAAATTCTGAAATTGCAATTTAGGGATGAGAGGATGTGGTGGGTCTGCTGAGATGAGCACAAAAGGCCAGGGTGGGTGTTCTGTGAAGACAGTATAAACCCAAATGTATCAGACTGTCTAGTAAAAAATGAGAACAGGAAAGTCAGCATTTCCACAGAGCCCAGCTAGAGGCAATAATCCAATTCACAGGGAAGTAAGAAGCTGATGGTGTCCTTGCCAAAAATCCAGCTTTCCAAAAATAGTTCTGATAAATGAGTAGTAAAAAAATAAGGACCTAATCAGCATCAATAAGGAGAGAGACTGAAAGTTTGTCTTTCTACAAAAGGTAAATTATGCACTATAAGAATGACATCCATCCATTTCAAGCCAGAAAAGCTACCAATCTCCAGGGACTTGTAAACTAGTGAGCAGACTAGAAAAATGTATTAAATTTATTTAATTTTTTCCTAAACCTGCCTAAATTTTGTGTTTATTTATAAGTTCTTCCTGTAAATGCCTGCTGTTTCTTCCATTTGCTCCTGAAATAGTGTGCAAAAGCTGTCAGTCCAACCATTCTCACCAGCACACCCTCTAGAAATGGAGACATGTAGGATGGCACCACTGAACTGGTGAATGGCACTGGCTGGGGACATGGAACAATGCAAAAAATGAGCAGTGCTAAGGATCCTCCCCATGCAGTGGCACCCTGCAGGCCACTCAGTCAGACCTCACCTCTGTGCCCTTAGCATCAACAGATGGGGCAGTACTCGTGATCATCTGCCTTTCCAACACCTCCCAGAAGTGATCCTCCACTGCTGTCACCAACTCGCTCTGGTTTGTGACCAAATAAGCAGAGTCTGGAGATTTGGTACCTTCTGGGATAATGAGAGCATCCTAGGATGTCTTTATGGTGCTTGTATCCCCAATTCTTTGTTCTGTTTATGCTGGACATTAAGTTCTGCACCTGTAAGACTGGTTCTGAGAGCGAAGGGGTGAGAGAAGAAGTGCAGAGTTTGTCATCAGGGACTGCACTTGCTCCCCCACATCCAGCTCCTGGACTGTGCTGTCTGCAGCATGGACAGACAGCAGGAAAGAGCTCTCCTTTACTTTTTTGTTAGTTGTGTTTTTAGCTAGCTGAGGCAGAGAAGTTCCCTGGACTGTGAGGTTTTTTAATTTTTCTTGGAACTGTTCAAACCTCCTCTGGACCGAAAACCCAGAAAAAGACTGGGAGCTCACACCTGTGGCCCGCTGGAGCCTGGGACACAGCATTGCTGCACTAGAGGGACTGATAAGAGGCTGAGTAAGCTGAGAGTCCATGACAAGAACTCTTTGAATTTGCCATCTCTTCAAAACAGCGAGAGGTTCTATTGTTTATTATTATTGTGTTTGTGAGTACTTTGCTTGTTAAATAAACAGTTTTTTCCACTTTTCTCAAAGGAGGTTTATGTCTCCTGAACCGGTGCGGGGCAGGGCTGCTTGAATTTGCTTTCCAGAGGGATCCCTTTGGAGGTTTCCTCTCACATTTCCCCTAAACCAGGACAGAGAGTTTGCACAGCACAGAATTCTCTGCAAGGTTAAGTGCTGGGCAGTCCTTTATGGACTCTGTCATCTCACTTGACAGACTTGAGAAAACTTGAAGGAATGATAAATTCAATTTCTCTGTGAGGGATGCCAAAAATATTTACCAGGTGTAGACTTCTTCATAACCAGGAAGTTCAAAGATCCACAGTGATCAAAGTGCAAAGGACTCACAAAACCCAATTCCTTCCAGAAACATCATTAGCATTCAGGAGAAGTAGTGTGCTCCCCTCAGGATCCTACATGTGTGCATGATATTTAAGCTCTGCCCAAACTATCTCAATTTTATTCACAGAGTAATAATTTCTCCACACAATAGAGAGATCTGAATCAGCTGCTTAATGAAGGCATTGCACAGAAAGCAAAGCCAGGGACTGGGACACACTCCCAAGCTTGTGCCACTTCACCACTTGATGAAGCATCTCCTCTGTCTGGAACTGCCAAGTTTCTCACTCAGAGAGCTCCAAACCAAATGTCTAAGTTGGAGTTAATTGTCCTCAAAGTAATTATAGAGGCAACAGAGAGAAACAAGGGACTCCAGCTGGTGACACAGCCTACTTTTAGTCTAATAGGAGCAAGATTAATCACAGCCTGAACATGCCCATTCCTTCCTACAGGACAGAAAGGAAGCCCAGGGAGACTAGCTGTGATCTGATGTCCTGTCCTGGATGGACACCTGACATTAGATGAGATGACTCCTCCCAAACACCTGATGGAAGGGTGCACTCCCAAGTGTCTTTCTTGCCCATGTATAGGGACATGACAGGAGTTAGTATTCTGACCACTGGCAAAAGAGCAGTTTATTTCTTTTAATGGAACACAAATAAGTTTGTTAAGATATGAACACATGGTCAGAGCTTTTTGATTCTGCTGCCCTCCTCTGAACCTCTACATTTGGGTCTTCATAGTCCTGTTTCTCTCTCTTACCAAACATTATGTTCAATATTTGGTAACACTGGACATATTACCAAACATGGTGAGGGAGATGGAATAGAGAAAAGCAGCGTGTCTGAAGGCACCGAACATGAACATGTTTCCCAGCACAGTACTGAGGCATTAATCTATTAAGAGCTGTAACCCAGTCATTAAGAAGGAGCAACGTGCTGTCTACATGTCCACCTCTCAATGAACGTTGTTCCTCTTCTTCTACCAGATTTTCATAGATGCAGCCCTACCCACACCAGTGAGAGCCAGCCATTTAACTTCATGCCTGAGAGATTTGCCTCAGCATCCCAAAGCCTGAGCAGCAGAAGAAAATACCTGTTGTTTTAAGCCTCTGAAGTAAACAGTCATCACTTGCACTTGGCATGGTTGTCTGAGTGAAATACAGGTTGAAAGATAGTTCATGCTTTAGATAATTCCATGGCAAATCACTTCGAGACTTTTAAACTCGAGTGACAGCCTGCTTTTGGGGTCCTGTTGCAAGAGATAAACCTCACTGTAACCTCTCCTTTGCTTAACAGTAATGCTCCTACAATTGCTCTGCACAAGTCTCCCTGCATCTGTCCTGTCAGATTTCTTACAGGCTCCCATATTCTGCCTGAAAGATTGTGACACGGTGCACTGCATCCGGACTGTCCGAGACACAGGGAATGCATTTCCAGCCACTCTGGCAACACAATTGAGGCCAGACCAGAATTTCAAACTTGAGCAGATCAAAAGGTTCTCATCCCCTGTGTCAGCAGATCACTGCAGACTGGCCGGTCCATTACAGTGAGTAGATGCCCTTCTAAACACTGACTTAAGCCATGGAACAGCCATCAAAATGCTGCTTTTGGCAACCTACTTCTTGCTCTGGGGCAGGTAAAAACCTGCTTCATCTGACTATCCAAGAAATCGAGAGGGACCTCACTGCTCTGTGCAGGAGAAGTCTTGCTGCCTGCTCCATTCTCTTCTCTTGCCTCCACCATGATGTCTGAGACGAGAGATCCTCCTTTATTAATCAATGCTTTTTTAGCAGAGATTGTGAGTGCACCCCTGGACTACAAGCTGGCACCCTGTAATCAGAGTTGAGATCTGTAATTAGACTTGAGATCCTCAAGCAATAACCTTCTGAAAATCTAGGCCTTGTTATAAGAAACTTTGAAATAAAAATGCTGGAAAACATGATTCCTGATACTAGGCAAATTCATGACAGTCACCTACACCATATAACCAGAAGGTGAAATATATCTAAGTAGTGCAAGAAAGTTTCAGAAGGACACGATGTTCCCAGATATCTACAGGCTCTATTGCGATTTTAGTAGGTTTCCTGAAAAAAGGAGAGAAGTTTTCTGGGAAATGAACTAGCAGTTCTAAGTCCCAAGCTTCACACATCTCCAAGATGATGCTCAGTTGTCAGCTTCTGTCCTGCTTCCTCATACACTGGGGTAGTGATGGCATTGATCTCCTTTTCCAGCATGTCCATTTGAGCTGTAATGTCTGACACAGTGTTTTTCACAGCCTTCAGCTGCAGCTTCAGCTTGCTGTAATCTTCTTGGAAGGATCTGTTCACGTCATAGAGGTTGTGACAGCACTGTTTCTCCCCGGGAGGATGGCTCGTTTTAAGGAAGGTGTGGAGGAGCTCATGTAACTCCTGGAGAACTCTGAGAACTTCATGCTCTCCCGGTGTACTTGGGGCAGAGTCAATCTTGTTCTGAGTTGGAGTAGTGCTTTTCCTTTTACCTTCACATTCCTGCTGGGGGACTGGGCCAGGGTTAATCTTTTCCACAGCTGCAATGGTGTCAATGGTGTTCTGAAGATCTGAGCGGGCATCTTTGCTCTCTTCATGGACTGTGATGGCTTTTGGGCCTTTCCAGGTAACAGGGAGTGCTTTATTCTCCTGCTGGAAATCTTCAAATATTTTATTCTTTTCCTGGACTGCCTGGAGAGCTTTGTTGCCCAGGCTGAGCTGAAAGCCTGTACTCCTCTCTTGGAAGAGTGGAAAAGGTTTATTTTTGTTCTTGAGACTTCTCTGAATAGCATCAGTGTAAATTACCTGGACAGATTTGTTCTGTGACCGAAGATACTGTAGGGCTTTGTTTTCTTCCCAGAGCATCCTGTTTTTGATCCATAGGATTTGGTTTTCCTGCCAGAGTGCTCTGTTCTCCTCCCAGATGCTCCACTCATTCTGTGCCTTCTTGCTGAAGAGTTTCTGGTGTGAAGAAAAGGGTGGCTGGCACCAATGGTCATTCACCCATTTCCCATCAATAAAGACAAACATCTCACCCCTTGGCTTCACCTGAGGCGTGATGCAGTCTGTCCCAGGCTCTGTGTGCTGCATGCTCTGGTTCCTCTGATCAAAGGCAGACATGGCCCTTCTTCAGCAAATTGAGCAGGACTGTGGCAAAAGGCTTCCTCCAGGGCTTCTACAAGAGGCTGCTGACCACTGCCAAGGAGCAGGTGACACAGTGGGGCTGGAGAAGCTTGATTAGGACTGAAAGAATAGGGAACACAAATACATAGATTTACTGCCAAAATTCCAAATCAGAATTAAGCTACACCAATGACAGGACAAGCAAATAATTCAGTTCTCACAGTTAACCATGTTACCACTTTGATGCTGAAAGGCAAGGAATCCACCAGATACCTTGTTGATAGAAGCGGAGAAAATTTGCATTGGTAGATAAAGCAGCTCTATGGCAGCACTAAAAGCTTTCTTATAAAAACCTGCACTTCCCCTTTATCTCTCTACCTCATTTCTACAGACCTGTAAGGGAGCAAAAGACTATTTTCTGCCTCAGAAAAGCCTGCTCCCAAATGATTGATGCACAAACATGTTAAAAATTGTTATGAGGCTCAAACAAACTTTTCAAAATAAAGCATTTTTAAAGGTTCATAGAAAAAATCTGGCCTTGACAGCAGGTTTTTTTGGCTAATGCTGAGTAGCCTTTGTTAACAGGATGCCACAAATATGCAGTGATAGTTTTGCTTTTTGATCTTAAAATCCACAATATGCACAAACCAAAGCTTTGGGACATCAGAGCTTTGTTGCTCTTTGCGTGGTTTCTTGACAAGCTCCCATCACCACAGTCCAAAAACTGTCACAACCCATAGATAATTCTCCACCTTTCATTCTCATTTCTCCTGTCACTCTTACTCTTTATATGCTTTGATAGCTCTGTTATTTTTCTTGCTTTCTAGCCCTGCAATAGTGATTGCTTATCTTTTTCCTACAGTCCATCTGCCTCTTTTTCACATCATCAGAAAACTCATCTCTAAAATCCATACTGCAGGGCCAAACCTCTAATGCTTCTCATTTCAGACACAGAAACCTCAGACTTATCTGTTGAAGACTCTCCCCTCCTTTCCCCTACCCAAAATATTGCAGCTTAAATCACTTTCTAACCATGAGAGAACTGGGGCAAATTAGGATTTCAGTCTTATACGTGGGAAAAAAAAATAACAACCAACTAGACAACCAAAAATTATTGTTTTGTGCCAAAGAAAAGGTTGTTTTCTGCAGCTAAACCAAAATTAAATTTATGTTATTTTCATGACGAAGTTATTTGATCTGAGATTGAACTATTTTTTATAACTAAATTGTTGGAATTCTCAGGGTTTCTGCACAGAGTTTCTGACAGCACAAATGTGCCTTTTTTAAGATTAAATAAATAAATAAATACATAAATAAATAAATAAGTTACTTGTCAAATTTCACTCAGGTGTATTCCTCTCCCCCTGTGAGGTCTCCCAACTTCCCTGCTGTTCCTTGGAAAGCGCAGTTCTGCCTTTCTGTCTGATCCTTCATGGATCTTGCTCTCATATCTCTACCCCAAGCATTAAGCAGAGGGTGACCACCACACCCAAGTCCCTCATAGCCTCCAGCTCTGCCATCTCAGTGTGTGCCCCCTGTCCTATTGCTGCCCTCTCCTTTTCCAAACCTGTTGCTCTCCCCTTTCCCTGTTATTTCCACCAAACAGCACTGCATGTGCAGGCTCCTCCAAGTTACTTCTTAGAGCCAACATCCATAGATGCATCCTGCACCCCCTTCCCAAGTTTGTCCAACCACTCATAAAATTACCACTTTGTTTAAAATCCCAAATTCCTGCATTTAGGAGAGGGCTATTGCAATATAGGTCTGTTTGCATTAACATTTGATTTTATTGCAACCTGTTTACTGTCTGAACTTCAGGGCTGTCTTCCACATCATCTGCTGCTTAATCGCATGTCAGACTTGTGTTTTCATAACAACGTTCTTCTACTAAAAAGGTATTTCCCAAAAGCTCTGGTTTGGATTTTTTTTGCCCACTTACACTACGGCCAGAGCCATGCATTGCTCCCTCCCTTACACCCCTTTCCCCTGCAGCCTTTCCTGTTTTATTGGGGTGCCCAGTCCCATTTTTTCCCCCAGAAGCCACAAAATGGGGGCCTGGTAAGGGGTGAGGGTGCAGAGGGCAAATCAGCCACAGAAGGAACAGATCCCTAATTATCCAGGGAAGATGCAGAACACATACAGCAACAGAAGCCCAGACCCATGTGCCTATCATGGACAAGAAGTTACAGTTCTTAAAGTCACTTTCAGAGAAAGTGTTTAGATTGCACATTTTCAGGATAAACAGAAATATATAATATATATGACTTGGAAGGACATTACCTTGGGGACAATTAAACTTGACAGTGGCTCTGTCAGCTCTTTTGCACTGCCAGAGAGACATCTACCCAAGCTTTAGGGAGCTACTTCAACATCTCAATGCCTCCCATATAATTTTTTCCCCCATCTCTGAATAATCCCAGGAAATGCTGGGCAGCTGGGTGGATGGGCAAGGCAGCCAGCTGTGGGGAAGCCACAGCAAAGCGAGAGAGGCTGGGCAGTTTGGAGCACACCATGACAGAGCCAGCAGTGCTCACCTTCTCAGCGCGGCCTGCGTGCTCCTTCCCTCTCCCCGGAGCCGAGCTGAGTTGCTGGGGTGTCCAGAGGTGCTGGAGTGCACAGCAGGGACAGGGGACTGGGGCTGATGTGAGCGCTGCAGGACCTTGTCCCAGGAGCAGCCACCTGCCCCCGACCCGCCAGGGTCTGGGGGCTCCTGCACAGCCGCCTTGCACAGCTCCCTTCTGCGCTCCTTCCGCACTCTCCTCGCAAGATGGGCTCTGCCTTCTCCCAGCCTTGCTCCTCTGGGCTATTTCCCATGGAAACGACCTTCCTGCTAGCTCGGCTCCCATGCCCTTTCCTGAACCCAGGCTTCCTGACCTCCCTGTGATGCTCGTAACTGAGAACAGTTTGGATGGATTCTTTCTCCATCACACCCTCTTAAAAAACAAATTTTGTATTTATTCTGAAACTTCAAATTCTGTTTGTTGCTGAACTGATACTGATACATTCAAAAATCACTTCCTTGTATGCACTGTGAAAGTTGAAGTTATTTTCTGAGGACAACTCTTCTTAGACTATAAGCTCTTCTTAGACTATAAGCTTAAGAGCAGACTATAGCTGAATGTTAGTAAGAAGAAAATAGAATACAGAAGGCATTCACACAAGCAGGTCTAGATATTATTTGTAGCAGCCATTTCCACTTCCACATCTTTACATTCCTAATTAAGTCTTTCTTATTTGCTACATCTTTCAGAAGTGGATTTTCTTTTTCTAATCAGGATTCTTGAATAATAAATACAGCGTTTCATTTATTTTTCAGTGAAAATTACCAAGTTGACATCACCCTCAAGGTGACTGCTATTGCTTTAGGAACTTGGAGGTATAGTTCAGCTTTGGTGTTATATGAAAATTATAAACTCAGATATAAAATCCTTCTCTGTAATTGCTCCCTTGCTTATATTTAATCTTAGATGACAAAAACACATCAGAGGTTACTATGGCAACTCCCCAGGGAGTATCCTTCTTTATTTGAGCTCCAGGATCCTGTGTAGGAAAACAGAAAAATGTCCTCAAAAGAGAAAATATTTTATCATGGGCTGTTTGTGTCTGGCCTGCCATCAGATGGGAATTTAAGGGTGCTACCCAGTGCAGACACTTTTCAGAGGGGTGACTGAAGTGTCCAATCTGAACTTCTGCAGAACTGTGGCTGTGGGCTCTGAAAGTGACCTTTGATGAACATTTTAAGGCCTAAGAGCTGACTAGCAACTGAATTAATTGAAAGAAGTGCAGCTGCTTAATCCAGAACCATGGAGAACTAACTTGATAGTGAGCATTCCTTTGCTTTACTCATGCAGTATTTTCCTTAAAGTTTCATAAAGTTCTTCTGCCAAGTCAATTTTTTACTGAAAATTATTAATTCAAAGGCCAATACATTTGGATCACATTTAGTGAATATCATCAAATGTGTTTATGCACTCATCAGAATTGGAAATGCTGCAAGAGTTCACAGCAGAATTTTTTATAGCAGCTACACTGATTTCTGAGCTGGACTCTCAAAAGGACTGAGCTGTCACTCACAAGATTACAAAGGCAGAAATAATGCTGAGTGTGTTCCCCTCCCTGACAAGAGACAAGTAACCCCTGCTCTGGAAGAAGAGTTTGAACTAGCTTGCCAGCTGAATGTTTTGTCCACAGCTTCAGACCACTCAATTTCTCAAAAATGTTTCACTGTACAAAGTACTAAATATTATTTGGAACCAAAGCCTTTTTTTCCTCCATCCTACCTGCACACCTTATACCAGGCTGCTCAGCTGACTTTGCTGTCCTGCTTCTTGGAGGTTGTCTGGTTCTAGAAGGGATCCAGTGGGAAGGAGTGTGTGATCCCAGACACACTCATGTAATATTCTCCATGCTCCATGCTGGAGTACAAGAGGTCACCATCCAGTGATGGATTGAAAGCCAGGGGAAGAGCAAGATATGAACTGCTACTATGAAGATTTTGCAAGAAGGGCCCTGAAGGCACCATACTAGCCTCCTTTCTATTAGGTAGTGGTATGTACCAGCAGTAAATATCAGCCCTTTCCACTCTTTGCTTTCGTAAAGTGTCTAAAGTGAAAATAATCTGTGTGTGGGGTTTTTAGTAAAAAGCATGCTATATTCCCACATCTTTATTTGGTAGAACCAAAAGTGTCTGCTGCCACTTTCTGCCATGCCAAGCACATCTGTGCTGTTGAAATGCCAGCCTCTGCTCCTGCCAGTGCAGGCTGGTCTCACCACACACTCAGCCACTGTTCTCCAGGGCATTAAGCCTAGATGTGAATACCACCTAGTCACTAAAAAGACTCTTGCATATCAGAGTGCTCTTGAATCATCTCCTGATCTCAATTGCTGGGTAGGGAGTAAAAATTATGTTTTCTCGGTTTCTGAGGCAGTGAAATGTCTGGTAATATCTCAGCATTATATTCTGCCCAGGAAGAGACAGTCAGCAGTGTGAAAGTCAGTAATGAAAACGTCCAGATAAGTTTTTTTTCAGGCAGATAAATGGATTGAGTGGCCCACCTATGTCATCAACTACTTGGACTAATTGTCCTTCCAGGGACATGATCACAGGGCTGCTGCCAGTGTGCCTCAGTGTAACCCTCACAACATCCAATGTTGTGCAAATCACCAACCCTGCATTCTCCTGTCAGCACTGGGTCAGCTGCGAGCTGAAATGAAAGGTGGAAATATCGACTTTCATATCTTCCCTCTGATTCTAATTGTATTTTAGACATTGGGTTAGTCATCATTTCCTCAGGTTCTCAATGAGTTTGGGATGCTGACTTTCTGATGTAAGCTGTCAAGAGAATTTAGTTCTTCTTTGTGAAGTGCCTTGAACATGAAAGCATGACAGCAAAGAGGCCCTACACACCACTCTTATTTATGCCCCGAATGTAATACACACATGGTTTACAGGGTGAAGCAAAACATTTTACTATTGCTAGTAAGTGACATCTTACAGACATGTCAGGCTTTGTGTTGTTCCACCTTTGATCTCATTCTCACTTTCCTTGCTTTGTACTTTAGCTATGAATATTTTTTTTGAAAATCATCAAAACTCATGTGCAGTCTCTTGGTCAACTCTAAGCCATTTCCTATCAACGTTGCTCCTGTGTGTTGTGCCTCTATGAGCCTTGCCAACAAAAACCAGCCCAATTACCACGTCACTCTCCCAGTTCTGTGTGAACAGATCAAAATTTACATAGCACTCCATGCTGCTGAAAGAGCCTGTTGTTCACTGCTGAGTTAATACTGGCAGAAATTATCGGTGGTGCATTTGTTTCTGTTCTAGGGCAGAGGGGCATGGCTGGCATTGCCCCTGGAGGAGCTCTCTGCCCTTCCTGTACACAGGGACAATTTGGAAGGGGACAGTCACCTCAGCTGTGGGTGTGGGGTGTCCCCCATGGCCTCCCTGGGACCCCTGAGAGGCAGGGCTGCCAGCAGGCTGAGCTGGACACGCTGTCCCTGATCCCTGATAGCCACAAACCCAAACAGCAACACACACCAGTGTTCAGGACAGCAGACCTGAGCCCCCAGTGACCTGTCAGCCAAGTGATGCCTCAGCCCTCACCACTGCTCTGGTCAGGTCTCTGCTGACTGCACCTGAGCTCTGAGGTCCTGCAGGTGCAGGGTTTGGGAGCTGGGGGCATTTCAGCTCGTTCTGAGCACAGAGCAGCTCTTCCATGTGACAATTCTCTGGGTGAGAGGAAAAGTCAGCGACTCCATTCCTGATTGACAGGGAGAAAATTAAGGGTTCAGGCTTATTAAGCAATCTCTAACAGTGATTTATGGGATCCTGTACATTTTAATCTAACAAAAAAATTTAAATCATCTAATTAGCTAAGTGTGTAATCCTGTATATTAATTGTCTATTAGCCACTTCTTAATTATAATGGAATGCTTATCAAATAACATGTGATGGCCACGTAGCACCAATTTAAGTCATTATCAGACCAGCTCCTACTTTAATAAGGATCTGTTCAACTGGAGTCTAAGCATTTCATTTTATTTTAAAAGCTCTACAGAAGAGGAAGAAATCACCTTAAAAATAATATTTCAATAGGACTTTCTATACTCTTTACTGTAAACAACACTACATGAAGAATCACAAAACCCACGTGAAATATCCAAGGAACTATCAAGGAACCTGGAAACCCAGATCTTGTTTTTAAGTTTGTCCAGGAGATCCTTGTTCATGCACACAGTCCTTCCAGCTTTTTTTCTTGACTTCCTCTTTGTAGGGATGCATCACTCCTGAGCTTGGAGGAGGCGATCCTTAATTATTAACCAGCTTCTCTGGGCCCATCATCCTTCCAGGGAATTCTACCAAGCAGATCCCTGAAGAGATCTAAGTCTGCTTTCCCAATGTCCAGATGAGTTTGTTGTGTGCTCTCCTCAGTGTCCTAAATATTCTAACCCCATAATTTTGTGGTCACAGTGGCCAATGCTGCCTTTGACCTCCACATTCTGCATCAGACACTCTTGCTGGTGAAAACAAGGTCCAACATTAGCACCTCTCCTCATTGGCTCCCCTATCACTTGGAGAAGGAAGTTATTATCAGGGCATTCCAGGAGTGTCCTGGATGGTTTATGCCCTGTTGTGTTCCTCCCCCAGCAGATACCAGGGTGGTTGGAGTTCCCTAAAAGGATGAGGGCTTGTGAAGCTGAGATCACTCCTACCTGTCTGCAGAGGAACTAACCCACTTCCTGGCCAGGCAGCCCATAGCAGACCCCTACTATGATGTCACTTGTCCCAGATCTCCCTTTAATCCAAACCCATGAGCTCCAAGGTGGCACCTGATCCATGCCCAGGCAGAGCTCCATGCACTCCTGCTGGTCATTGACGCGGAGGGTCAGGGTTTCCACACCCTGTCCTTCCTAAAGAGCCTGTATCCCTTCATTCCAACTCTCCAGTCACAGAGCTCACCCATCACAGCCCTGCAGGCATGCACAGTTCTTTAATTCCTCTGGTTTATTCCCCATTCTGCCTGCATTCAATAGAGACATGTAAGCTGGGCCCCCATTGTCACCATGATATTTTCTGAAAAATCCCTTTGCCAGGATTTCTTCTCCTGGGAAGCTGAGAAGCCTCAGAAAAGAATGTAAACAATAACTATCGGATTGCTTGGGAACGTGGTCTGGAGATCATTTACCAACAGGTGCATCTTTGATTGGTTCCATGTGACTTGTTTTTAATTAATGACCAATCCCAATCCAGCTGTGTCAGACTCTGAGAAGT